TTTAAAAAATATCTTCAATTCTTATTAACTATATTAGTTATCTGTGTCATTGGCGCTTTATAAAAGCAATAGAATTTAATTTAACAAATTTTAATTATATCATGCACTGAATTAATAGCTAGATTGTTTTTTTTTTTTAAATTTAATTCCAAAATCTATGAAAATAATAAACGCTTGACTCCTTTTACGTGCACTTTTTGGAAAATACGTCTTAAAAAATCATAAATTTATTAAGAAAGTAGAATTAGAACGGATGGTCATAGACCGAATAGTACAAATAAAAGAAAAAAATAAAAATTCTTTAACGATCAAGATTTGTTTCACAATATGTTGTTTGCACTTTGCAATATGTGCCACTGTATTTGTTATTACTGGCAGTGATAAGCATCAATTTAGATGTCATTTAATTCCAACTTTATTGTCCAACTAAGTGTGACACATTTTCATTTATTGCACTGTAAAACGATGAGTTCAACGTCATCTAAACGATGTTCATAAACGAAGTGATATTATTATTGGGATAAACCAAGTAAATTAGATCTAGAAGCTTCCTTGACTTTCTAAATGAATATTTTAGTACCTCAAATGAATCAAAAGGATGACATAGAATTTAATATGTATTCCACCTCGTGTCCATACTCTAGAAAGATAAGGCGATTAGTTAATGTTTAATAAAAGAAATTGGAAGAAAGAAATCACCCTGGGGGCAAGGGGTTTGCTTCTAGAAAAACAACCAATTCAAAGAAGAACAACTACTGGAGGACGACTTTTCTTACATTCTCATTAAAGAAAAATGTTAAGCCGATACTAATTTTCATTAATCTAATGGAATTCTAATAAAATTCTTTGGTGTATTGTCGCCTATTGCGACTCTTCTTCTTCTTCTTCCTACATTATTTCTATTTCCAATTTCTTGTAATCTTCACCTCTCATCTCTCTATTCAATTACGGAGTTTGCTTTTGACCTTTGAATTTTCTCTTTTATTATATATGAAAATGATGATGATTTTGAGAGATTTCAAATCACATCAGCCAACATTAAACGCCATCAGGAAATAGTATTCTTTCCTCTTTTTCTCCTTTCAAGAAATCCTTCTGCCGTTGTACATCCAAATTATACCAACACATTTAATACTATAGCTTAGACTGGCAATATTTGCTTTGTTTGTCTGTCTGTTTCTTTATTCTTTGAAAATCCTATGAGAACCTTCCGGTTCCCATACTAGAACCAAGAACTTGTTAGTTCTTAATAATTTATCTCAAAATCAAATCGTTGTTTAAAAGATTCGGAACCGAACTGACCAATTCTAAACAGTTTCGATCCGATTCCACCTGTTCTAGAAACAACGCCCAATCTTGGAAGGAATGGAGGTTGTTAAACTTTAAAAAGTGTAATAAAAGAAACATAAATATATCAAAAATTTTTTTTTTTCAAATGTAGTGTCACTATAGCATGTATAAGTCATGGGATTTTTAATCATTTTATCTTAAATGATCCCTTCATTTTCTATTCCAAAACCTATGAAAAAATTATCCTCGTTTTGTGCACAAATCTCATATAAATATAGTTGAATGTATAATCATTTATGAAGAAATTGTGTAAAGTTTTCTAAGAAGGACGATGAATAACTAATTTTATAATTTATTTTTTAACTAAAACAATAATTTAGCGACTCTCTCTACCATATGCAGTGAAGACACTGTCAACGATGTACAAGTTTATATACCCAGCTCCATATTTGGGCATGAAAGCTATCAAATCCTTAAATATAATTATATAACTCGTGGCAATGATCAAGATGTTATTCAAATGAAAAAATTATTGTACTTACTCTTTAATTATAATATAAATTGCTATGCTAATAGTATTTAAGTAATCATTTGGAACATTTCCACCTCATTACTTAATTATAATATAAATATTTTGAATATTACTTTTTATTTGTTTTACTTCTGAGTTTAATCTAAAACTTTTATGAATGAATTAAGTTGTAAAATTCAGGGTTCCTTTGGGGGGTAGACACTTTTCATGAGAGGGATGAACTCATTTTCTTTTAATTATTGCGTAATTAATGGGAGGTTCCAAAAGAATAATCCTGTAAATTGACCAATTGGAGCGATAGCCGGCATTGACCATTGAAATTTCATGCAATAAATATTTTTATTTTTTATTCACTTGTAAATGGTAATTAATTGTTGGTCAAGGACAGTGGTACATTACATATCATCATTTAAGAGTCTGTTTGTTTGAGAGAGATTTTGAAAATTAATTTTTTGACAATTATAAGAAAAGTGGGGTCCACATGTGAGAGAAAAAATCAAATATAACGATTGAAATAATAAAATAAATGTCAAAAAATTAAATTTTTAGACAAAAAAAATCACTCCCAAACATGCTATAACTAAAACATTGAATACCAAATCCATGAATTCATTTTTTATTAAAGCATAGTATGTCACCAACTAACCCATAAATATGAGTGGATTGGGGGACCCTCTTAAATAAACAACTTTTACACTTTGCTCTTTTAATTTTCAAATTCTCCAATTTCCCCCATTATTTCAAGTTTCTAAGCACTGGACCAGTGATAAGCATCAATTTAGATGTCATTTAATTCCAACTTTATTGTCCAACTAAGTGTGACACATTTTCATTTATTGCACTGTAAAACGATGAGTTCAATGTCATCTAAACGATGTTCATAAACGAAGTGATATTATTATTGGGATAAACCAAGTAAATTAGATCTAGAAGCTTCCTTGACTTTCTAAATGAATATTTTAGTACCTCAAATGAATCAAAAGGATGACATAGAATTTAATATGTATTCCACCTCGTGTCCATACTCTAGAAAGATAAGGCGATTAGTTAATGTTTAATAAAAGAAATTGGAAGAAAGAAATCACCCTGGGGGCAAGGGGTTTGCTTCTAGAAAAACAACCAATTCAAAGAAGAACAACTACTGGAGGACGACTTTTCTTACATTCTCATTAAAGAAAAATGTTAAGCCGATACTAATTTTCATTAATCTAATGGAATTCTAATAAAATTCTTTGGTGTATTGTCGCCTATTGCGACTCTTCTTCTTCTTCTTCCTACATTATTTCTATTTCCAATTTCTTGTAATCTTCACCTCTCATCTCTCTATTCAATTACGGAGTTTGCTTTTGACCTTTGAATTTTCTCTTTTATTATATATGAAAATGATGATGATTTTGAGAGATTTCAAATCACATCAGCCAACATTAAACGCCATCAGGAAATAGTATTCTTTCCTCTTTTTCTCCTTTCAAGAAATCCTTCTGCTGTTGTACATCCAAATTATACCAACCCATTTAATACTATAGCTTAGACTGGCAATATTTGCTTTGTTTGTCTGTCTGTTTCTTTATTCTTTGTGTTGTTGTGTCGATGATATTTATTACTGGGTAGCTTTTCAGTTCTTAGAACTCATTGAAGAGCAGAATATAATTTATTATTGCACAGAGACCTCTCATATTTTACTGTTTGTTTTGATTACCAGTACAAGTTGTTAGTGTTGCATTTTTGTTTAGCTGGGACAATTTTTGGTGATTTTGGTAATTGCCGAGTTCTGGTGATTTTTGACTGAGATTAGCATCTGGGAAAAGAAAAATTCACATGTATTTTTTGATTTTCAATTGTGAAATGCTGAAAGATTCTTGGATCTCTAAATCATGTCCCAACAGCGCCCTCTATTAATTCCTTCACAACGAACTCCCGGTAAAGAAGAACTACCATATACCCCTGTTTTGTTAAAATCTATTTCCGAGAATTCCAAAACTTTTTCTAGGATGGATTCAAATTCGAATTCCCAGTTTGAAAATGAGAATTCTCCACTTCCGGATTTTATCCGGAATACCTCATCCCAGCGCAGTACTTCTTCAATACAGTCGATTTATTCGAAGGCCTCTAGCGGGCATTCTCCACTCCCGGAGTTTATCCGGAGTACCTCATCCCAACGAAGTACTTCGTCAATACAGTCGATTCATTCGAAGGCCTCCAGTGGGCATTCTGTTAGGGAGGTTAGCTTTGAGCTGGGATCAAAGCCTTCGGTCAGGCACGGATCGATGGGTGCTGATTCCGAAAGGTTTGGCTCCTCCTATAAAGAGATTAATGATCAAGATGCAAGGTTGGTTTATCCAAATGATCCCGAGAAAACAAATGAGAAGTTTGAATTTGCGAGGAACTCCATCAGGACTGGGAAATATTCAATCTTGACTTTCTTGCCCCGTAATTTGTTTGAGCAGTTCCATAGAGTTGCCTACATATACTTTCTTGCGATTGCTATACTCAATCAGGTTCCGCAGCTGGCTGTTTTTGGTCGTGAAGCTTCAATTTTGCCGTTAGCCTTTGTGTTATTAGTTACAGCTGTTAAGGATGCGTATGAGGACTATAGAAGGCACCGTTCAGACAATATTGAGAACAACCGATTGGGATGGGTTTTGGTAAATGATCAGTTTCAACAGAAGAAATGGAAAGATATACGTGTTGGGGAGATCATTAAAGTTTCTGCAAATGAAACTCTTCCTTGTGACATGGTACTTCTGTCTACGAGTGACACGACTGGAGTTGCTTATATCCAGACGACTAATTTGGACGGAGAATCAAATTTGAAGACTCGGTATGCAAAGCAGGAAACACAAATGAAAAATCCAGAGAAGGAAAAGATAACTGGGTTGATCAAGTGTGAGAAACCCAACAGGAACATATATGGTTTCCAAGCAAACATGGAAATTGATGGAAAGCGTGTTTCCCTTGGACCTTCGAACATAATCCTTCGTGGTTGTGAGCTTAAGAACACTAATTGGGCACTTGGGATTGCTGTTTATGCTGGTCGAGAGACAAAAGCGATGCTCAACAACTCCGGAGCTCCATCCAAACGAAGCCGTCTTGAGACAAAGATGAACCGAGAGATTATTTACCTCTCTATATTTCTTGTCGTATTGTGTACAATAATATCTGTTTGTCATGGTGTTTGGTTGAGGCGCCACAAGGAAGATTTGGTTCTGATGCAATTTTACAGAAAAAAGGATTATTCGGAACCTGACGTAGAGGATTATAATTATTATGGTTGGGGTATGGAGGTGTTCTTCGTATTCCTCATGTCGGTTATTGTGTTCCAGATCATGATTCCCATATCATTGTACATATCCATGGAACTTGTTCGGGTTGGTCAGGCTTACTTTATGATCAGAGATAATAGGATGTTCGATGAAGCCACCAATTCAAGATTTCAATGTAGGGCTTTGAATATAAATGAAGACTTGGGGCAGATAAAATACGTTTTCTCTGATAAAACTGGTACACTGACTGAGAACAAGATGGAATTTCAATGTGCAAGCATAGGAGGTGTTGACTACAGTGGTGGGAAGGCCATGGATGAAGATGAACAGACCGGGTACTCCACTAGAGGTACTACAACTTCTCTCTCTGCGTGTCTTTGCCGTTCCATTTTCTTTATATCTCCTGCACTCGGTTTTCATTCTAAACATATTATTTATGTCTGCCATTTTGGTTATCAGTTGACGGGCAGGTTTTCAAACCAAAGATGAGGGTAAAGGTGGATCCGGAGCTTCTCAGTTTATCAAAACAAAAACACACAGATGAAGGCAGACATGTTCACGATTTTTTTGTAGCATTGGCCACTTGCAACACAATTGTGCCTCTGGCTGTGGAGACGTCTGATCCTGATCTGAAGTTGATAGATTATCAAGGGGAGTCTCCAGATGAACAGTCATTGGTCTATGCAGCTGCAGCTTATGGTTATATGCTTATTGAACGAACTTCAGGTCATATAGTTATTGACATTCAAGGGGAAAGGCAAAGGTAACTTGAAGCTTCTTTGTTCATACCTCTCGAGCTCAATATTTTACTTTTGCAATGCCCGTGAGAGTAGCTATTTAGACAATCAGTTTTGTAATTGGAACAATTCCATGAAATTTCTTCATAATATTATACTAGAAAAGTCACATGCATGAAAATATAGGTATTGTAAAGAAGTATACTGTTCCAGTGTTGTAGTAGAGGATTATGGAGATTCTAGTTTTTTTCTTCCTTTGTTGATGGCTTGTTGAGCTCATTTGTTTATATTGTCTGTCTAATTTATTGCATCTTTCAATTTTTCTTTACCTTTTTCTTTTGTTTATTTTATACTTCTGCCCTTGATATTAATGTCGTACCTGTAAATGGTCACTGCAGGTTCAATGTTTTAGGTTTGCATGAGTTCGATAGTGACCGGAAGAGGATGTCAGTAATACTCGGATGTTCGGACGATACGTTTAAGGTATTCGTAAAAGGTGCAGATACAACCATGTTTAATGTGATTGATCGGTCCTTGAACTCAAACATTGTAAAGGCAACTGAAGATCACCTTCACTCATATTCCTCAAATGGTTTGAGAACACTTGTTGTTGGAAAGCGGGACTTGAGTGCATCTGAATTTGAGCAGTGGCAATCGTCTTATGAGAAAGCAAGCACTGCCGTGATGGGGAGGGCAGCTTTACTCCGTAAGGTTGCTTACAACATAGAAAACTCTCTTAGCATATTAGGTGCGTCTGCAATTGAAGATAAATTGCAACAAGGAGTTCCAGAAGCAATTGAATCCTTGAGAAATGCCGGTATCAAGGTTTGGGTTTTGACTGGGGACAAGCAAGAAACAGCTATTTCAATTGGCTACTCCTCTAAGCTCTTAACAAGTAAGATGACCCAGATTGTAGTAAACAACAACTCTAAGGAGTCGTGCAAGAAAGGCCTAGAAGATGCTTTGGTAATGTGTAAGAAGCTTACTAATGACTCTGACACTACAAGAGGAAATTCTGGAGCTAGAACGACAGAAATTGCATTAGTTATTGATGGAACAAGCCTCGTTCATATTCTTGACACCGAACTTGAAGAAAAGGTTAATGATTGTCTACTGTACTTATTCTCTCTCTATATCTGAGTTACAGTCTATTGATATTAAACTCATCCCTGTCGATCAATTTTCAGCTCTTTGAAGTAGCCAGCAAATGTACTGTGGTATTGTGTTGTCGAGTAGCTCCATTGCAAAAGGCTGGAATTGTTGCCCTGATGAAAAAAAGAGCTAATGAAATGACCCTTGCTATTGGTGATGGTAAGCATCGTTATCTCTTTATGTTATAGATAAATTACATTCGAAGAATGGAATAATAAGCAACTATGGTGTATATCATTTTGGCTATGCTTTCAGGCAATTTATAATTTATTTATTTATTTATTTTTTCAGGTGCAAATGATGTTTCAATGATCCAGATGGCTGATGTTGGTATTGGCATCAGTGGACAGGAGGGTAGGCAAGCTGTTATGGCATCGGATTTCGCAATGGGTCAATTTAGATTTTTGGTCCCATTATTATTGGTACACGGACATTGGAATTATCAGCGGATGAGTTACATGATATTGTACAACTTCTACAGGAATGCACTTTTGGTTCTCGTATTATTTTGGTGAGTATGCTTTCAGTGAAAATTACAAAATTAGATTCCTTCCCTCTGTAGAGAAAAGTCTAAAGACAACTTTAGTTGACTGTTTATGGCATTTTAGGCACTACATCTTCGCCTGGATTTGTGGCTTCTGAAATAATAAGATAGAAAGAAAAGGAATTGGTTTCTTGACTGTGCTTGATTAAAATTAAACTGAGAAAATCCAAAATAGAAAATATTATAATTGATTGTATTTTTGAAAATATTAGTTAATCATCTAAATATAATAAATAGAAATTTCTTTTATTATGTTTGGCCCTTTTCTTCTTTTTAGTTGACCCCTCAAAGCCATTTTAAGCGAATGCTACTCATTTTATTAATTTCTTCATGGTTAAACTGAAAATGTATTTCATTATTCTGTATATCAGTTATCCAATACTTTCTCAGTTTAAACATGAAAATATTGCATCTCTGTATAGCATGTTGAAAATACTAAATTTAAATTATAAAAATGAAATTGAACTTGTGCAAAGAATCGCTGTTTAACCTGCTCAATTTTTCTTCCCAGGTACGCTCTCTTTACGGGTTTCACGTTGACAACTGCTATCACCGATTGGAGCAGTGTGTTGTATTCAGTAATCTACACGTCATTGCCTACCATAGTTGTTGGGATTCTTGATAAGGATTTAAGTAGAACAACTCTGCTGAGGTATCCACAACTTTATGGGACCGGACAAAGGCAAGAAAGCTACAATGGAAAATTATTCTGGGTAATGATTATGGACACATTGTGGCAAAGCGTAGCGGCCTTCTTTGCACCTCTGCTCGCATATTGGGAAAGCGATATTGATGGATCGAGCATTGGAGATCTTTGGATAATTGCAGTGGTAATTTTGGTTAACTTACATTTGGCCATGGACATCATTCGCTGGTATTGGATAACTCATGCAGCCGTCTGGGGATCGATTGTTGCTACTTTCATTTGTGTCATGGTTATCGATGCTCTTCCTTTCCTACCTGGTTACTGGTAAGATTTCTCTTCCCAGTGTTACCATTCCTGAAGTATACATGCATTCAGGAGTTGGCGTCTGTAGGGGAATATTGCTAGTTTCAGAGTCTTTAACTGATAAAAAACTACAGGAGTATTGTCATTTTTTATGAACTTTGTTGCGGTTACTCTTGGAATTTTTGAACCATGAACCATGGACATGTAATGTCCCTTAAAGAGCGTGCATTACCAAAATAAATGAGACATAATCTAATTTGCGCATTTATATAATTCTGCAGGGCTTTCTTTCATGTTGCTGATACTAAATTGTTCTGGGCGTGCTTGCTTGGCATCACTATAGCAGCACTGGTTCCTCGTTTTGTTGTAAAAATTTTCATTCAGTATTTCAGACCAGACGATATTCAGATTTCAAGAGAGGCAGAGAATGTCAAAAATTCAAGGGAGTCTCGAGATGCAGAGATCGAGATGAACCCAATTTTCAATCCTCCACGGAGATAAACTAGTTTGTTTGTTTTATTTTCATACATTTTTGTATTTTCACTTCATTTGTAAAATCTGTCCCATTCTTTATACAGCAGCTACAGAAAATTTCTTCAGCTTGCCGGGTTGTTTTTGTTCATTAGGTTCTACTACATAAAGGCTGTAATTGTACATTATTTGTGTCTTCAACGGGGAAGGAAATATATTGATGATAGTACATAAAAGCTTTCGCCAATTCTTTGTACTCTGGCTTCCCTCACGGTTGTTCGGTGCCATTTTTGTAAAGTCAAAAGTTGCTTTCGAGAATGTTTTTGAACATGTTTGAAAATTTTGTGAAATGACTCTGTTTGGCTAAAAAACTTTTAGAGAAGTTGTTTAAGTATTATGAAAAGAAAATTTTAGGGGATATTCTCTTCGTGTTTGAGTTTCGAATTCATTTTGAGTTTTGTGTTTTGAGTGTTGATTTTGAAATTGTTGAAAACACGCTCTTTTTGTCATTTTAGAAAACTGTTTTTCAAAACACGAAATTTAAAAATGCGTTTACTTGTAAAGTTTGAGAATAATTTTTCATAACATTTTCTTCAAAAAACCACTACAACTTCACCACAAAGTTGCCACGACTAGAATCACCATTGCCAACCAATCACCACCGCCATTGCAACCACCACAACCAATCACCGCCACAACCTATCACCAAGACAGCCAATCACCACCACAAAATCGACCGTCGGTACCATCATCATCAACACTACTGCCAAAATCATCATCGTCCACCGCCGGTACAACCATCAACGAAAACCAAAATTGCCACCACAATCGACTAAACCTGAAATCGCTACCACCATCAACAAAAACCAAAGAACCTCCAATAGTGAGAGAGAGAAGAAACCAAATCGGCACCATCTTCAACAACCATCACCCATCGCCGTGCTGTGAACGTCGGGCCCAATCATAGTAGCGTTGTGAGCGACGAATAAGTCATGACACTATTGTGATTTGGAGCGAAGGTCGCGACGCTATTGTGGTTTGGAGCAGCGTCTTCTCCATACATCGGCGCCACCACCATCAACCATTCGTTCATCGTCGGCGTCAAGAAGGGAGAAGGCCCAATGGAGAGAATGAAGATGGAAGTCTCACGACCATCCAAATTTTTTTCTCTCTCCTGTTTTGCGTGTTTTAGGTTTTGGGCGTGTTTCTAGTATTTTCAACAGAAAAATACTCAATTTGTATTTTTTTCACATTTTTTTTTGTTTTCGAAAACAGGAAAGAGAACATGTTTTCATCGTTTTGGAAAATCAAAAACAGAAAACGCCAAAGAGAACGCCCCGTAGTTTTCTACATATGTACAAATATTTGAAAATTTTAAATTAGTAGTACAAAATAATATAGAAGGTAATACAAATATAAAAGGGGAAAATGAGAATACAAATTTGTGTTCGAGCGAAAATGGAGAATTTGTTGTGGTAAACAAACTTTAGGGGTATTTTTATAATTTTTCAAAAATCAGGGGTGTTAGTAATATTTATATACCTTATGGGGGGTGTATCTGATATTTACTGAAGAGGAAAAGGTTTACTCGTAACCGAAGTGCGTTGAATCCTCTGATACACACTTGAGCAGACCGGAGCCGCCAATCCCGTTTCTGGTCTCATATTCGCCATTTTATTTCTTCAAGTAAGCTCCTCATCCTAATTCCCTTCACTTGAATTTGAAAGAACAAACTGCCATATATACATATGTGTGTGTGTGTGTGTGTTTTTTTTAATGAAAACACTTCCACTGATGGATTAGTTGATTTAAGGTTGGTGTTAATGGACTGCAGACTTCTTTCTTTCAATCAGATCAGTGGGTTTTCGTCTAATTTCCGAGCAATTTCTGTTCCACGAAGTATTTCATATCGTTTGTCCTCTTTTACTCGGCCGGGTAACTAGAATTTTGTACTTCAAATTTCTAAAGTTTGTTGAATTTGCATTTTCATTTTGTGAATGGTTTGTTGTTAGATTTCTTTACACACTCGTGAATGTAGAATCTTTGAAACATAGAGTGCTGCGGTTATCTTTGTGTCCGTGTATTGATAGTTTGTATGTTGCTTTGACTAAGAGCATAATTGGCTGAGCTTACAAATTTGCAATGTTTACTTATATGTAGTCAAATGAATAACCTTTTCTATTGGTTAAAGTTGAAAATTGCTAATTACTTATTTTTACAATGCTTACTTTCAGAAACAGCTACTTATATTTTTACCTGAAAGGAAGGAAAAAAAAAAGTAACTTATCTACTCGTATTTGAAAATAAAAGTAACTTTTTACTTTAAAAAAAAATTAAAATTAAAATGAGTTGAATTTGGTCTTGAACATTCCAATGAAGTTTAATTTTTAGGAAGGTCTTTGTTAAGTCTTTTGAGCAAAGGCTGCCCAATTGAACAAGAAAACTGCTGAATTTTGTTGACATTACTTGTTTTTAATCCGTAAATTACTAAATTGTGCTGAAGTTCTACTTGAAAATGCTCTAAGTGATAACATTCACCTGTGATATATTTGAGACTAAATAACTAATCCTTGAATAGATCCACAGGATGTTTAACAAGTTTTTCATTTTCATTTTCATTTTATATTTTTAGTCATCATTTTGCACGTTGAACAATATTTTTTGCCAGAGAGAGATATTTATTTATTTGATTCGGCTTTGATTGGGCATTGATGAATCTTAATATATCTGAAACATTTGGATATCACTCTTTAGATTGTTTAAAGGACACTAGGCCTTGAATAGGTAGTTTGGTCAGTTAGATCACTTTCACGCCATGTTTGGAGGCTAACTGGGGCATTAAGTTGTTCCTTTTGAATTTTGCACATACTTTTAAGAACATAAATCTATGTTGGCAATCCCAATTCCATAACAGCGAACATGGTCTTGAGAGCCTTAAAAAGTTACATGATGGATGGACACTTTCGAAAAAATGGCAAGACGGTGCAAAGTGGTCTATTTTTTGATCAGTGAAGTTTTAAATTGAAGGAGTCAAATGCCTTTGGGAACCTTTTGTTTTTAGTATAATAATGATTAATGCAATCTATAAATGGATAATTTTCTTTCATGCTTTCAGTAAGCGTGTATTTAGAGAAGTTACATATTTTTACCAAATTGTGATATGTATACAATAAATATACATTTTTTTATATCTGTGCACCTGGATAAAAAGACCCAATGAAGCTAACTCTGGTACAAGTTCCTGGTGGCTGATTCGTATGGTTGTGAACTCGAGCCATTTGATGGTGCAATATTTCTTCATTAATCACTCCAGATTTGTTCATGTTCATGACCATGAGATATATTTATTGGTAGTGTTGTGCTCTTTTTTCTCATCTTCTGCATTTTGTGTTTCACAGGGCCATTTCATTGCACTCCAAATTGTTCGATGAAGTCCTATAGGCTATCAGATCTTACTACATCCGAGGTTGATAGCCTCAAAGCTCGTCCTCGAGTTGATTTTTCTTCCATTTTTGATGTGGTAAGACGCCGTGTTGTTTAGCAGCACCAACTTATTCTTTTAAATTTGTTATCTTGTTATCTGGACTTCACTGTAATGTTGGAATCAATGTTGGATCAGGTTCAACCCATTGTTGATGATGTACGCAGTAGAGGCGATGCAGCTGTTAAAGAGTCGGTGCTTCTTTTACTTCTTCATTCTGTTATTTATATTATTTAGTTATGTTTGAGAAGCGTGAGAAAAATCCGTGCTATTTTAAATTCACAATGAAAATAAATGTTGATCAACAGAAGACAGAACTCTACTGGGATGATTGTGTTTGTAGAGAAGTCCTGAGGATGATTTTGGAAGCACTAAAAATTGGACTAGTTCATGATTTAATTTGGTTAAAAGACTGGTTTTAAGCTTTGTTAAGTTCAGAGAACTGCACCCATCAACCTTTTGGGTTATTTTTGTTTGTTGTGCTATTGTGGTGGGACATTAATTTGAGGGAGGGTTTGGTTTACTAAACCTAAGTTGTGTGGTTGTAAGGAGTGGGATTAAATTTCTGATTGTTGTCATGAAAACTTGAATAGAAGAAGAGGACAGATTTTGTGAATCCAGTTATTAACTTAGGCATCTTTCGTTGCAGTTGCATCAAACCAGGCAATGCTGATAGAGTTTCTATTGATTTATTTTCCAAACTTATAGTCTATGTAGAAAAGGGTGCAAATAATGTTGATAGGTTGTAATTTTCTCCTGGTTGTGCAGGGACTGAACCAACATACTTAAGAGTTCATATGTACCTAGGACTCCTGGTTTCACTGGATATGGGACACAAATGCATAATACAAAAAGAATATGATTTTAACCTTTCCAAGCATATATGCATCTGTAGGCAGTAAGGTTGAGATGTTTTGCTCATTCGTCATTTCCTATGGTTGAGGGTGACCGCTATATTATGTTTCTCTTTGACAGCTATACAATGAGATTTGACAAAGTTAAACTGGACTATATAGTTGAGAACGTCAATGATCTTCCTGATCCTGAGGTATCTCTTTTGGTCTGGACAAAGTTTTCACAGCTCTGCTTGTGATTTGAGCATCCTAATTGTTTAGTTTCTAAGTTTCTATCATATTACAAAAGTTCCATTTAGTATTCAAGTCCACTATTCGGTGACTTGTACTTTGATGATTAGCTTGATGCAGCCGTTCAAGAAGCATTTGACGTGGCGTACAGTAATATTTTTGCTTTTCATGCTGCTCAGCAGCCAGTTGAGAAAATTGTTGAGAACATGGAAGTAAGTACTTTAACTTTACATGGTACTTATTGGAGTTCCTGACTCAAGTTGCAGTTTCCCCATTTTCAATTTTTCTAGGGTGTTAGGTGCAAACGAGTGGCAAGGAGTATCTCAGCTGTTGGTCTCTATGTTCCTGGGGGCACAGCTGTTTTACCTTCAACTGCTTTGATGCTTTCAGTTGTAGGTGACTCTAGTTAACTATAAATTATGCTTTTCTGGATTTAATTAAGATTTTCATTTCATTTTGCTGATTGATGTGGGAACTCTTAAATCAGCCTGCCCAGATAGCCGGATGCAAAACTATTGTACTGGCAACTCCCCCTACTCAGGATGGCAGCATTTGTAAGGTGAATGTTCTCACCTAATAAGCTTGATTGAATATGGTGTTCATGTAACTCACCAGCCATTATTTTGCAGGAGGTTCTTTATTGTGCTAAGAAAGCTGGTGTTACTCATATTCTTAAAGCTGGAGGAGCTCAGGTTGGAATGCAGTATATTTTCTGAGTATACAGTGTTTTTAAGGAGACTTCTTCTTACATTTCTGAAATTTATCAATATGTTCAGGCTATTTCTGCCATGGCTTGGGGAACTGAATCTTGTCCTAAGGTATCAGTTTCTGCATGATGTGTGCGTTCACTATATCACACCATTTTAGTAGCAACCCATGCTTTCTTTTGGTCCATAGAAGCCCAACTCTTCTCTTCTCAGGGCCAGGCTTAGACAAAAGTTTTGTATGTACTGAAGTGTGTTATTGTGATTCTCGAAGTACTACCACTAGTTGTGCATTTAATCCTGCCTTCTGTCTTCTCTGTATGATATTGAATTAGCTATCAACTTTAACAGACTATTTATTTGCCAACATCATAATAAGTTTGTATCTCCGCCGAAAGAAAAACAAATAACTGAGCTTTATTGACTATAGATGTGGTTCGACTACATGATTCTTTTTGCCACTTATCCAGTTATATGGTTCTTCCTAAATCTACTGGAAAATCTGAAGCAACCACAACATGCACAAGTTTGTAACCTAATACTAGTATATATTGTAAAGAGAAAAAAGGAAAAAGAAAGGGGGGGGGGGGGGATATAGAAAACCCTGGTAAGCACATGAATTCTATCTGATGAGAGTAGGTTTTTCAAATGAAACTTAAGATAGAGAATAAACACTGACATGCCTGTGAAAGAAACTTGTATAGTTATTTATTTATGGCATTGGAGGATGAATCATGACACTTTTCTTTCTTATCATCTTTTTTCTCTGCTTTTTTACAGTATGTTTTTATTTTAAGATTCTTGGTTCTGGCACCATGCACTTGTACATTAGATAGCTTGCCAGATAATACTGCTCTTGAATAAACAGATAATCAAGTTAATAGAATTTTCAGTGATTCTGGATCGCTTGCTGTTGTGAGGAGTTTGATAGATGGATTTCATTGGATTCTGATTTAGTTTCCTTCTTGTAGAGCAAATTTATTATTTAAGGAAGAAGCGTCTTTGCTTCTCCCTGGTATTTTACTCCAATTACTTTTATTTGCGTTTGTATGTATAAGAATGAGTTGGCAATACCACTGCCCTTGCCAATATGAAGGGCATTTGTTAGCTACCCAAAATAACCCATTTCACCAGGAATTTGCTAAATACTCATTAAACTTTCATCAAACAGCAATTTGATGTGTGTACAGTGTTAATCTGATACACAGATCCTTGATCCACAATCCACCTTTTAGCTCATAAGTGACTGGAGTTAGCATTCCCAGTCTAACTTATACAGGTAGCTCCTTCCCTGTGGCATTTATTCCAATTAACTTGAGCCTGAACAAAAAACCACGAGAACGTGTCGAGTGTAGAACTCACTAACAAAATGATAAGGGAATAAAAGAGTAATGAGCTATCAGCTATACCACCAAGGAATTTGCACATATCTAAGAATTGCAATAATTATGAGATATTCTATTGGTGGAGTTATGTAATATATTGGTATAGGACCCACACGCAACAGAGTTCTCCTCTTTTATAGTGGTTAAAGCCATCTCTAGGATCCAAGACGATATCCAACTTGCTGTGAAAAGATTATAGTGTCATGACTCATCCATCTGAAAAGCACGTATAAGTCCAATTGGAATATGTAGGGCCATTTTCATAAAATCAGCCAAAGAAAAGATTTTATCCACCCCAAAAGCTCATTTCAGTTCAAATTTAAATTTTATCTCACACTAAAATCTAATTCTACTTCCACCCTTGGGCAAAGTTGATATCTAGTCATATGTAAGATTATGCTATAGGATGCATGCAAAGAAAGGTGGATATCATTTTGCATTGATTTATTTAAGATCAAGTTGTGCACTGTAGGTCTGGTTGCATAGGTCACGCCTTTTTCCCTTTCCACTGTCCCGGGGCATAGGACTTCGATCCTAGACCACCCACCCCCCTTTTCTGCCATAGTTTGTCTATCTAGAGCAGTGACTTGCATGATTAACATATTCATTGTGTACTCGATGTCAAACTTGACTTTTGCTTTATGCCCCAGTGAATATCTTCCTTGGGAGTGGGGGGGTTGGGGTGGGTTAAATAGGATGAAATAGATACAAATATTTCTTTGAAATAGAAACTCATATTGAGCTGTGTATTCTGACTTCTCCAATTATCTGATGAATTTCATTCATCTATCCCCATGTGCTTCTCTCTCAGATATCTGTTACAGTTTTGTGTTACTATTATTGCAGGTGGAGAAGATATATGGGCCTGGTAATCAGTATGTCACAGCTGCAAAAATGATCCTCCAGGTAGTAATGATTTTTACTTTATTTCTTCATTGAAATATGATATAATTTGCACCGTATTTCAGTATGCTGCTAGGTTGCCAAATCTATATTTCTCCCTTAACAGAACAGCGAGGCTATGATTTCAATAGACATGCCTGCTGGACCATCAGAAGTGCTTGTCATTGCAGATAAACATGCCAACCCAGTTCATATAGCAGCGGATTTACTTTCACAGGTATCTGCTTTTTGGAATTTTGTCCTTCAATTTGTTTTCTTCACAGAAAAGAACTTCTGTGAATTTATGTTGTAGTTACTGAAAGTAGGAGTGAATCACTATGTTTATTGCAGCAATAAGAGTTTTTATGATAAATTTGACTAGTTGTTTACTATATGATGACCATATAAGAGAGAGAACTGAAATCATCAAGTTCTTTTTCTTTCTCACATATAGATACCTTCTTATAGCCTTCTTTATATATGTCATATTATTTTCTTTTCTGACCTTGCAAACCATCATGTTGCCAATTTCAGGCTGAGCACGGCGCTGACAGCCAGGTTGTTCTTGTAATTGCTGGAGATGGTGTGGATCTAACTGTTATTCTGGATGAGCTCAACAAACAGTGCAAAAGCCTGCCAAGGGGAGAGTTCGCTTTAAAAGCACTAAGTCACAGCTTTGCTGTTTTTGCTCGTGATATGGTTGAGGTCCGTGCTCTAGTGTGTGATTTTCATAACAGACTACTTTTACATATAAAATTCCCAACTTGACACAATAATTTGAAGATCAATTGAACAATATGTACCTTTTTTTCTATTGCAGACATTTGAAGACTAGTGATGACTGATTAGAGAGTGTAGAAAATTCACTTTTGTTGGCAATCTAGAACATGAAAGCTGATTTTGGACGTTGATTTTAAGAAATCTTCTGCTTGAATTTCAATGTTAAGTTAAATGCATTAATTAAAAAATGCATGAGGTTATGCCTTCAACAATTAACTCTACTCGTTCACCGGGACGGACCCACTAAGGGACGAGTGGGGTCTGCCGCTCCCACTAAATTTTCAAAATCCTTCAATTCGACCTTGTTAAATTTAAGTTTTCAGATTATTTTTTTGGTTTTTTTCACAATTTAGTTTAGCCAATTTTCCATCTCGTCGCCACTAAAGAATAAATCTGGGTTCGCCCGTGCTCGTTCATATGGTTAATTTCAAGAACTAGTTTATTGCACACTGACACACACACAGTTGTTTTCTTGGTTGTTTTGTTCACTTATTTCTTGGTTGATTTTATTCTCTTTGCATGTATGGTGCATCTGAGTCTCAATTTGTTTTAAAATTACAGTTATTGTTTGGATTCGCAGGCTCTCAATTTTTCTAACTTGTACGCGCCCGAGCATTTGATCATCAATGTAAATGATGCCGAGAAGTGGGAAAGTTTAGTCCAGAATGCTGGTAATTATTGTCATGTTCTTCTGTCTACATGATCTGGTGTTTGCTTGTATGAAATCTGTGTCATTTGCAAAATTCTTTCATCTTTGTCCGCCTTTGCTTTAATAACATTCTATATTAGTGCATAAATACTCTGAAATTTTATTAGCAGGCCTTTTCTATTCCTTACTGCTTGGCAGGTTACTTTCTTTTTCTCCTCAATATTTTTAAACAAGCTGCTATAGTCTGTCCTTTATCAATTGGGCATACTATAGTTTATGGATTACACCTTTTAGCGCACAGGGATCTCTGTCTACAATTGCTAATATCCTACTTTATACTTACTATTGGAATGCTGCATGATCAACAAAAAATCTGCAGGTTCTGTATTTTTGGGTCAGTGGACACCTGAGAGTGTAGGAGATTATGCGAGTGGAACGAACCACGTTCTTCCCACATATGGTTATGCTCGGATGTACAGTGGCGTGTCTTTAGACTCATTCTTGAAGTACATTACGGTCCAGTCATTGACAGAGGGAGGGTTGAAGAAGCTAGGCCCTTATGTAGCAACTATGGCTGAAGTAGAGGGTCTGGATGCCCACAAGAGAGCTGTGACCCTCAGATTAAAGGACATCTAGAAACATTATTATGTCATTGGGAAAGATGCCCTCGAACGAGAGGACGTTAATGGAGAATTACGTCTTGCCCTCAAGACTAGAGGCCAGAAATAGAGAATTATGTCTCCAGAGAAAACAAGTGAATTGCTTTCTAGAGGGATGTATTTTGTTGTCGTCCGCCTTGTATTTGTGTACAATTATGCTGTATGTTATTTTAGATATTTCTGGAGAAATTTCATGGGAACAATTGACATCTTTTGGTGATTTAACTTTTAACAATTTACAATTTGTACTTGAATTCAGTGGTACTCATTTGTGTGTTTAACGACCTTGAAAATTGTTGTTTACTATTACAAATGAGCTATCTACATGAATTTGGCTCTTCTTTATTGGGAAGACGCGAGACTCATTTTCGACTAAGTGTATGGCTCTCCTTCTAGACGTCTTTCAAAATGGTCAATGTCCATATGAGCTGAAGCTTATAAAATGTAAATAGGAAGACCAGATAATAGTCGGACGATATTCATATTAGGTTCTCATCGAAAATGTCGAAAATGGACAAATGAGAACAGATGATAAAAATTCAGCTTGGATGCAGATTAGTACTATACAGTAGCCTTTTATCCTCCAATACAGCAAATAGTGTTAACCTTGTTTCCACTTGTAACACACAACTCAGATAATAAAAAACTGTAAATTTTATTCAGATGTCTTGAATTGGTGACTCTGTATTGCTGTGGTGCTGTGAAGCCTGGACTTGAGCTGCAAACTGCAGATTCCAAATCAAATCTTCAACAGAAGGCCTCTCAGATAGTTCATTTGACAAGCACCCCACACAAAGCTCAATCAGGGTTTTCAGCGAATCGTCCGAGCATTCCTTGTGCACTGCTGGATCGACTATAGTCCGACGAGCTTTATCATCTGCTGATAGGCTTACCAACAACTGAAGAAGTATCAAGTAAGATCATGTTAGAAAGTCAAAAGTACTATTCCTCGTACTATTTGAAGAATTCCTGATGATACTTTTGGTACGCCAATTTGAATATTTTAGCAAGTTACTAGAACTTTGGCCACGTTTCCACATAGCTAGTCCAAAATCGAGTAGAGGAAGGTCGTGGAAGGTTAAAACTTTGTTACATCTTATGACATAAATCCTTAATTGTTTCATTTGGGCGTTCTTAATTTAGATGAGCTGCACCAAATCCCTAGTGTATTCATAGTAAGTAAGAGTTCTCCTTGAAGTAGTAAAGAACCAAATTAAAAGGAGAAAAGGGATTGTGTAGATGATCCCAAACTTTTGAGAATAAGACTCAGATTGTGGTTGTAGTAATTAAGAGCAATTGACAACCTCGTACTGGACAAGAAACTTACTATATCTTTGGAGACACCGACATCATGTTCAGAGACAATCATCCTGCCCACAATGATCTCAAGTAAGATTACACCAAAATCATAGACGTCATTTTTCTCCCCGTATCTTAACCTATTCACAAGACAATTACAAAAATGAAGCCCGCTATTAGATATAGAGCCAAGTAATGCCTCAAAAATACTGCATAATCAATGAAATGAAATCAAAATCAGTGTCTGATAAGTGTACAGAAATATAAAAGCCTCCAGTCAAGATCAAGTGCATAAATAGTACAAATAAACTTACATCGATCCACAGTTTTCCTTTGATCCATGGGAGGACACTGCCACGTCATCCTGAATCCGTTACAAGTAGGCAATGTCAGGCATGTCTTTGAAGTTGACGTAAATGATAAGCCATTTGTATCATTAGTACTCTACGCAAATCAAGTTTTACCATATGGTGAAACTTGATTAGTGTACCTTCGGCATTATGAAAAGTAAAGATGTCGACTTACCAGTCTCTTATTTTCTGTCAACAAAGGGAGATTGCATTTGCTAATTTTTGCATGAAGGTCATGGCTCAACAGAATGTCTGTTATCCTCAGATGATTCGAATACACACCGGGAACCATCCCCGTATGAAGAAATTGAATACCCCGGGCAACCTCAATAGCAGCATTTATTCTCTGTATCCATGTAAATTTTTGTCCAGAACGTCCCTCTGTTAACTCAAGTGTTAAACCAAAATTTGAAGTATCATCATATATTAATAAACTCACTTTATCCTATATTTAGAATTTCAGATGACCCTCTATAGGTGGTTGGAGATATGCCACAAGTCACAGGTGGAGATGAGCTAAAGAACAAAAAACCAGAACAGAACAGAACAGTAGAAGAAAATGTTTTTCTAATAGTAAAATCATCAAAAGATAATAATTAATTTATGTGACAAAAGCATCTCAGGTACATTGAAAATGTGAGCTTCTACAATGCCCGAAGCAAACCAGTCTCTGCAACTCATTTGAGTAATTAATTATTTCACGAGTACAGGAAACAAGCTACAACAGTCAGAATGTCTATTTCTCTCTACACTGTTCTTAAAATTACGTTTTATTTTTATTAAATTTAGACAAAAATTAATCAAGAAATATAGAAATATATTACCATCTAGGCCAATTATTCGAGAGATCTTAGCGGTTGAGAAGACCTTGTCAATTGGTATAATCAATCGATCACAACGAAAACATCTGTACAAGGACGTGTATGAAAAGAACATTTGGGGGCCACAAAAAATTAATATTTCTTTTTCTTTTATTGGAAATGAAGAGAAAAAGAAGGCAATAATGTCCAAAATAAATTCACATGATCTTATTACAGACATGTAAAGACAATGATTCTGATTAGTGATAGCTACTGTTGCTGAAAAAAAAAAAAAAAAAAAAAAATTTTAATAAAAAAGTTGGAAATTATTCATCAGAAGTGGACCTTTCTGGTCACGGACGTGCGATGTACTTTTTGATAACGAAATCCACCCTCCTTACCAAATTACAAGTTAAAACGATGATTTAAGACCATATTTTACACACTCGGTTTTAGACTTTAACAAGATTTTTGAAAAGTTAAAAGTTATTTATGAGATTAAGAAATGTTTTCGAACCTATCTGAATAATTTTCTGAAAATACTTTATCTGATTAGAAGAATATTTTAGAAAAACGATATCTTTTTCAAAAAGCTCTTCTACAAAAAGTATAAGCAAGCAAATGTCCAATCAAATGAATGCTTAATACGGATTAATTCAGCATTTCAAAAAATGTGAACTTTTTTTTTCCCACTAAAGGTCACTAGTTTGGCTTATTTTATATCATAAAAATCGAAAGAACGCATAAAAAGAGAGGCCACATACCTGAACTCCAATAAATGAACAATGTAACAAATGTCTCAAAACTAAATGAAAGTAACAATAAACGGAATGTGTACAATGACTAAGTGAAGACTACTTAAGGGTACTCTTGAAGATAAATTTTCGGGCAGGAAGATAAAGTTATCAACCAAGTCATACGTCTGGACTAATATATTCCTGAATCGTAATAGTCTGCATAATCATGCTCACTCATTGGAGAAGAGTCTCATCGGGAAAAATGCTCCCACGTAGGTGTCTATGTGTCGGGATAAATGCAAGTGCATCCAATCTTATGGTGCTCGTCGTTGCCAAATCTACTGCATATGATAACAGATGTAAACTGTTTTAGGTTACTAATAGTCTGAAATATCCTTTTCAATAGGTGTCATCCACATGCTCTGTTTTTAAGATTTCCTACGAGAATTTAATACAACACAATGATTATGAAGATTTAAAAACATAGTATGTCGACTTGTTTCTAAATTGTCTTATTGAATGAACGTCGTTATTTTTTCTTTAAATTACGAATAACTTTTGTTTTTATTGTTTTCAATTGAGACCGCGAGGTTTGCAACTACCTCTCGAAAGTTGATCCCACCTGAATCTTTTATTATCTTTCAAATCTGTCCTCGAATTTTCTGTTTTATGCAAAGAGTTCCCAGAACTTTCGGATTGGTTCCTCAACTCTGTGGAAACTGCAATTTGATCCCTGAATTTTTCCTTTCTACGCATCTCAATCCCTATATTTCCAGAAATTTCCAAATAAGTCCCCAATGTTTCTGCGTGTGTCAAACTGGTTCCTACATGTTTCAAATTAATCCCTGGAAATCCTGAATGCCTCACTACAGTCTCTTGTGGTACAATGGGCTGAATTGTTAAAGTGGTTCCGTCAAAATGTACAACTTCACACAAAAGGGACGCGTTAAGCCCGCTAACTGTAACATTGGTCTGCTTAGAAAAGGCCAAATGGGCTTGGGCCAGAAATAAGCCCAATAGATGAGAATTCATGTCAGCCCAATATCTTCAAAATTTGAGGTTCAAATACATGATCAAACTATCTGTTTTGTCCATTGTCTCCCTTTGTGATCCATTAACACAATCAGACAGCTCCAAACCCGATTGCCCAACCATGACCCGGTTGATCGTTTTTATCCAGCTTGTCCACCTATATGTGGCTATGGTTACTTCACTATTTGTAATGGAAGAAAAGATCTAGTAATATCCTCCTCCATATCAAACTTTTATGTACATCAGAAATCCACTCTTCATACCCAGTTACATGTTCAAAAGGTGATTTAGGTCCCACAGTCGGGTTAGTGTGTACTTATTTCTAGGTCAATGTGTCAAAAAATGTGAACTGTATTGACACTTGGTGCATGAAATGTGAAACGTA